GCTGCGAGCACATCTAATAAGAATATGCATTGACTTTATTATTACTGCTCTTGAAAAGAGATGCGTGTTTTTTTTTTCTGGATTATTTACAACCTGTGGACGTTTATGCTCGACTGCAGCGTTCGGGGCTCTGCCAGAAAGCTGCAGTCACAATGATCCACTGTTGTGTAGCTTCAGGCTCAGGCAGCTATCTGAGTTCTGCCTACAGGAGGATCTATATTTGTCTATGTGACAATCCAATTTTCCACGGACCAGCAGGGGAATGTGAAAAACACAATCTGAAAAGAAAAAAGGGGGGGGTGGAAGGTGGAGACAGTATACCTAGAACAACAGCTTTAATTATTCATTTCAGGGGAATTGTCAGCAAATGTTTTTTTTTGTGTGTGTTTTGTCTATTTCACGGTCAGTCATTCATGGACCAGGTTATTGCTGTGCGTGAACAGAGAGATGACAAATATCTGGCAGAGATAACATGGCTTCTACACAAACAATTGAAGGTGGATTTGATGGATAAAGGCAATCAAAGAGGCTTATTACAGTGATGTGCCGTTCACTGGGGGGGGGGGGCTAGTTTACAAATAATTGCGTGTGATTTTTTTGTTTTGTTTTTTTGTTAAAAATTGGGTGGGGTGGGGGTTTTAAACTTTTTTTTTTCCCCCTTATACATTTTGACCAGTGAAAACCAAATAAAATGTAGAGCTGTACCCCCCCTATACAGCACCCAAAAAAAAAAAAAAAAATCCAACCCACCAAATTAGGTGCAAGGAGGGGGGGACAAAATAGGGGCCAAAAAAAAATTAGAGCCGAACAGGGCCTCCCCCCCCCCCAAAATTCCTTTTAAAATTTTAAAAAATGTAGGAAAATTTTTTATTTCTCTTTTGTAAAAATCCTAAAATTCCAAAAAAACAAAAAAAAAATAAATATAGGCCAATAGAATAAAATAAGAACAAATATAAACACCCCCAGCACTCGATCGCGAAACATAATTCGGTACAAAATAAAAAGGTTCCATAACCGTTTTTTTCCCCCTTAAAACAATGTAGTACAAAGAGATAAGGAGCGCAAAAAAACAACCTAAAAATAATGAAATATTCTATGAGGAACACAGACACACAAAAAACCCAAAAAGGGCCAAGACAGAAGTAAAATCATCACAAAAGAAGCCCCCTTTTTTTCGAAAAAAAATACAAAGGCGGTTAGAAGCTTATTTAGGCATTTCCTTCTCTTTCCCTGGTTTTTGCCGGAAAGGTTCTGGTTCCCCCCCCCCCCCCCCCAAAATGAGAGAGAGAGAGACACATAAAGACCATAAATCGGGGTGATGCCTGTTATATTTTTTTTTTTTTTTTTTGTTGTTTGTTTTTTTTTTTTTATTTTTTTTTTCTGTTGCAAGAATTGTGTTTTGGCCGGTTAATGTAGGCATTGCTCGTGCTTACCACGACCCACCCCCCTCGCCGAAGAAAAAAGCAAAAAAAAACGCACGTCCGCCGGCAAAAAGCTGCTTCCCCCAGCTAACAGGCCCTTTTTTTTCCCCGCCCCCTTTTCGCAACAAAAACTTTGGGGCAAGGGGCTTCTCGTGTAAGAGAAGTACCCAAAGGACAAGGGTTTCCCCCCTGGCCACAAAATTATTTTAATTTCTACCTATAAAAGCAAAGGGGAGGAGGAGAAAATAGTGTTCACCACTATTTTGTCAAAACGACCAATTTGGTAACGGTTGCCTTGTTTTTATACTGTTATTTTTATGCCCCGAGTGGCAATATAATACCACAATGTTCCCCACACATCTGCTGGAAGTGGTAATAGGTGAGGAAAATTAACATGTTATCCAAAGGACAGAGATTCTGTTTTGTTTCTTCCCTTAAACTTTTGTTATTTCTATTTCCCCCCCCCCCCCCCCAATAGGTGACAAAAAAAAAGAGAAAAACCCCCCCGGCAACAAAAAACAAAAAAAAAGGGAGAAAAGAGATTATATATCAAACTTTTAATCACCTCAGAGAGAGCACGTCAGAGTTTTCCCAAAAAAAACCCAAATAAAAAGGCTGAAAAAGAAAAAACGTTTCTTAAATTGTTTTTTTTTTTACCCAAGGGAAAGGTGTTCCCCCCCCCCCCCCCCCTGGGCAAAAAAAACCCACCCCCAAAAAAAACAAGAAGGAAAAAGGAAACAACGATGGTCTCTGGAAGCAAAGAAAACCTAAAAAAGTTTTTTTCAAAGTTTTTCCTAAGGGGAGGAAACCCCCCAAAAAAAAAAAAACCAAAAACTGCCCCCCCCCAGAAATGGGGCAACGCCCCAAAACATTACACCTGTTTCCCGAGTTGAAAAAAGGCCCCCAAAAATTAAATTCTTTTTTGGAACCCCCCCTTATTTTGGGGGGGGTTTTTTAACTTGGGGAAAAAAAAAATTTAATGGTTTTGAGAAAAAAATTTACCCACCATGGGCCTGAGCTAACTCGCCTTTTCGGTTTTAAAATAGTCGTCTATGTCCTCTATTTTTATTTTTTTAAAGGTTAACAAGTTTTGCCCAAAAAAAAAGTATAAGAAAACAACAAAAAAGAAAGAGACCTTCATTTCCTAAGTGCTTTTTTTTTGGGGGGGGGGGTAAAAATTTTGTATTTAAAGTTTCTGGTAACTTTCACGAGCCTCGAATTCCTTGTCCTTTTTATAAAATTTTGAGCACCCAAAAAAATAATCCTTTCTTTGCATACTAATTTAATATGTTTTTAATACTCCCTAATCTTTCTCCTGCCCCCAAAAAAAAAATCCCGCCACTCCTCTGCTTTTTATTTTTCTCCTTATTTAATTCCGCTAGGTCCCCCCCCTTGGGGGCCTTTTTGATTCACTCCCCTGGGGGCACGCCACTTTTTTGTTCCTTGTTTTTGCTTTTGTGTCACTCTAAACCCCACCCAAAAAGACACGCCCCCAAAAAGGAGGGGGGGCACAAAAGAAAACCCCCAGTTAAAAAACCCAAACCGGTGGGGGGGGCCCCCGGCGCCATTTGCCTTCGAGTCCCCTATTAAATAATGGAACCCAGGTTCATTGATACTGACTATTTCTCTTGGATGAGAATACCAATCTAATATTGTAAAAAATTCCATAAAAGAGAAACGGGTCTCCGTTCATCCCCTCACACACAGCCGGCCCGCCCCAAGACATAATATAAATATCACACTGTGTTCAGAAATAAAAGTTTCCTGTCAGGCTGCAACAGATTTTTCTTTTTTGTCCCATAGTGTGCAAACAGGAAGATGAGAAAACTTTAGCTCCCTCCCGAAAGGTCTGTTTTCATCCATACAGTACAATATCACAACACAAATATTATTCACATCCTTTGCCACTGGTAACATTTTACAAAACTGAAAATGTGAGCTCACTGATTGCAAAATCCA